TGAGTTTTACACACATAACCCAAAAAAAAAAAGGAAAAAGAAAATTTTGAGGGGAAAAAATCGTTTTTGCCCCTTATTTTGGCCCATTTGGTTGGGGCTCTTTTTGGGTGTTCCTTATCTTTAAATTTGGTCCAATTTTTCTCATTTGATCTATTTCCTATTGGCCCTTTTCAAGATTACGTCATTTGGTGAAAATTCAAAGTTTTTTTTTTTTTTTTTTAAGGCTATTTTGATTATGACAAATTTAATCATTAAATTTTAGGGTATTTAATTTAAATTAATTTTATTAAATTGAGGTCAATTTTACTTTTAATTTAATTTGGACTATATAGGTTTAGGCGATTTTATTGGAATTAAAAATTTGGTCATTTTGTTTTATACCAATTTTATTAAAATTAAAAATTGTGGATTTCTAAATGCACCCTTGTTTTTGCTTTTCACACACTTCTTTTTAACAAAATGAATCTTTAAGTAAAATTATTTAATTACCTTTATTATAATTTTGGATATCCATATCTAGTATGTTATGTAATTTACTAAAAATGAATTTTTGAAAATTTATATAACTTACCAAAAATGGATTTCCAAAAAATTTTATAACTTTCAAGAAATTGATTTTAACGGTGGTAGGCAACAAAATTTTAAGAAAAATTACAAACAATGAAACTTTACTAGAAATTTTTATTAATTATTGTAATGAAAAAAGTTATTATTGAAAAAATAATAATAAATTTTAAAATTAAGAAAAAAAGTTAATTTTATTATTATTACATTAGAGAAAAAATAAAATCTTATGAGGTTTTAATTAAATTAAAGATAAAAAAGTAAATATATTTTTTTATAAATTTAAAATACATAATTTTTTTAATGAATATTTTTTCCTTGGTACCAATTGTTAAAATTTTATAATAATTCTAAGTGGACTAAATTCCTTGAAGAAATCTATCTATCTACTTATCAAATAGATTTCTCTAATTAAAATATTAGATTTTGATAAAATTATGTAATATTCAATAATATTAAATATGCAGCTTTCAAGAGTTTCAGTTCTCAAATGGTTATCAAAGTTGATAATTTTATCATCATCTCTTGTAGCATCAATGAGATGAAACATTTAATTAGGGCTTCATAAAATTTTATTCTTTTTTTAAGGTCAAAATAGTAAAATCAAATTTTTTATTAATTTTGAAGTTTATGATTTTTTTTAATAATAATTTTTTATTACATCAATTAATAAAAATTTCTAATGAAACTCCTATTTTGTAATTTTTCTTACAAAAGTTTATAACTTTTTTTGAAAATGAATTTCTTGAAAGTTTTATAACTTTTTGGAAATTCATTTTTAGTAAGTTATATAATTTTTTGAAAATCCATTTTCAATGAGTTATAAATTTTACTGGATATAGATATCTAAAAATTATGAAGAGAGTAATTAAATAATTTCATTGATAAAAAATTTTGAAAAAAAAAAAGAGATAAAGTGTGATGAGCAAAAAATATGATGCATCTAAAAGCCCTTTTAAAATTTAGGTATAATTTAATTAATTTTGGTCAGTTTGCTTATGGTCATTTTAATTAAAAAATTTTGCAAAATATTTTGTGCTCAAAATTAATGGCTCCATTTGTAAATTGTCGGGCCTAATTAAATGGGTTATAAATGAATTATTTGACTAACATGTTTAGCTCAATTTTTGAATTTAAATTTACTCAATCCATTAATAATTTATTTAATTCCTTAAAAGCGTATTTAGTTAATAAAATTATCTTATTATGTGAATATTCACTTTAAATCAAATAGATTGATTTTGTCAATCTTAAAATTGTGAATATGCATCCATATATAGCATATTTAAGTTACATTAAATTTTAATCTTATAATTTTGTAAATATTCTTAAAATTGCACAAATTATTATTTAGATTGATTAGATTTCGAATGTAAAACTCACATCTCATCTACATCTAATTTGAAATTAATTTAATAATTATAATTTAGTATAATAATCATAAAATATTATTTTTAATATAAATTATATCTTAATTATATACTAAAATAAGATATCTTAAATTAAAATATTAAATAATAATTTTATAAATATATATAATTAAATAAATAATAAACAAATATTTTATATATTCCAAAATAGATTGAGATAAAGTACTTTAAAATTCGTCTCTAATCAAATCCCCATTTAAAAAAAAAAAAAAAACCTTACCTGCTTTCAGTCAACTCCAATTTTTTGAAAAAGAAAATCCTTATCATACCGAGACAAATTGTAGTCTGTGGAATACTAATTCTCAATTTTACCATCCTATTCTCGGATCGTAAATGGCAACCCAATAGCTAAAACATAAATAGTTGTTGTGGTCCAATCCAACTCTACCTCCTATTGCTAGCTAGCGTCGACTAAACGCAGTAACCCAAGGTCCAAAGGAGAACCATGAAAAGTAAAGATCCGCCGAAAGCTTGGCTGCCAGTTGGCATCAGGCATCATCAATCTAGAATTGGTCATTCAAAATTGAGCCGCACATTCAAATTCATAAAATGCTTAAAAAGGAATTACTGCAAATAATATTCTTCCAGCTTAAGTGAACGGGACTCTTCCGTCTCTGTTCATGTCCGGTTTCATATTATTTGAACAATCACTTTCTTAGGTGCCTTGATTAGACCCCCACTTTTACAATAAACGGACATTAATATAAACCGTCCGAGACACTTGATGATGCATTGCCAGCAGTATTCCTTCATACAATAAAGAATATAAACCCTATCCCCAGGATTTATAAACAGGCAAAATTCGAAAAGAAACTTTGTTTGGACATTATTCAGACAGCAAATTCAAAATCGTTTGATTTTCTTTTCAAGGATTCGTCCGAATGAACCAAATAACTTTGATAGTCAATGCTTCTACCAAGAAAAGCCGAACTCCGTTAATCTCAAATTAACTTGTCCGAATGATTAAGTTAGAATATTCAGCATTTACTTGTATTAAGTAATAACAGATTGTCGTACTTGTCGACCTGGTAAATGTCTGTCTTACAGCGGAATTCCCGCATCAAAGTTCCCAAATAAATTGACCTCGTCAACAGATTTTCTTTATTTTGTTTGCATTATGTGGAGATTAGCTCCTCAATGCCCTAGTAAAAATGTTATAAGAAAATTTATTTTTATTTGGTAAGACAATTCACTTTTATTTTTGTTTATAGTTTTTTTATTATTATTATTTTGGTATGAATGAACTAGGTGATATCTAAGAGTTGCATTGAGAGTAAGTTGTACTTATAGTAAAAAATTATAATTACAGAGATGTGGGTTACAGAAAGAGAATATGAGTTAAGAAAATGCTTAAAAAGCTTAGAGGAGAAGAGTTTAAAATTGTCTTATATGAATTTTCTTTATATATATATATATATATATAAAATAAAAAGTGATGATGTGATTAAAGTTGTTAATAATTTATAATAAATTCACGTGCAGCTTAAGAAAAAATTATATTAGTAAGCGTGAATTGAATTTAATAATTTTAGATAAATTAAAAGTTAATTTGTTTATTGTGAAATGATATCTTAATGAGACGTTGATGATGATAGTTGGGCGAGTATGCTCATAAACGAAAGTGAACTCGTATTGTGATGAAAAATTTAAATATTAATTTATTTTTATAATGACATTATAATTAAATATATATTGACTTGATGAATATGAAAATAAAATATTTTAATTACTGAATGTAGGGTGATGATGTAATAATTTTAATTATCTCGAATTTAAATTTGTTAAAAATAATATTGGAAACTAATTTTTTTGATAAATTTATTAAATTCAATGTAAATAAAATTGACATATTGATTTGATGAGTAAATATAACGTACAAACAGATGTTGACTTTAGTGGTAAGAAAATTTGTTTTTATTTTAGTTATTGCAAGTTTAAATTTATTAAAAAAACGTTTTCCAACGAAATATCAAACAAAAATATAAAACAAAATATTTAGGATACCCAATCTGGAACCGAATGTGCACCCTAAATTATTTAAATGTTGATTGATTGATTGTCGTCACTTCAAACCTCAGCTGATCAGGTTGGGTGACAGTTCATATTTTAATATTTCAACAATGCAACATTTAAATAACATAAATTAAAGTAAAATATATACCAAAGAAAGATAAATCAAATTCTTGATTAATTAATGATGAGCAAGGAAATACCTGTTTGGTGAAATAACATCAAACAACCACCAAAAATTCCAATAAAAAATTGGTTTGGCCATCAACCCCTAGAGTTCATTGACCAATTTAAGATTAATAAATATGTTTTGGACAAAAATACCCTTTTCTGTAATTTCCTTGCTATACCCATTGCATCACGCATGATGCATTCACCCGCAAAAATAGATGGACTTTTTTTTTTTTTTTAACATGAAAGGTTTGCACATTACTTATACGATGATATACCCATACCATATCATATCATATTGACTTTGGACTTTCCAAACGATGTTCCTTGGTCAACGTTACCTGCGGGTGACCCAACCAGTACATTTATCCTTCTAGATCCTCATGGGCGGAGAAGCCCCGCAGCCTTCTATCCTACTGAAAATATCAACACGTGTTACTTGTCCGTCAAGCACTCCTTTGCCATTTTATATTTGTTTCCAATGAATATTTTCCGAATATATATATATATATCTAGATGGTTAATTTTATTAATTAATCAATTTATATATATATTTTTAGTTTAAGATTGACAAATATGATATTGATGATAAAATTATAAAATAAGATTTATTGAATATAAATTATTGTTTAAATTATGATAAATGAATAGTAAAAAAATTAAATTTTTTTTATGAAATTGATAGATTTTATATTGTTTAATTTATTTTCTATCATTAAAATAATTTAATAATTTTAATTTTTAAAAAAATCAATTAAATTAATTTTTGTTTTTTAAAACAGAACCGATTGGATCAATCACCTTAGCTCTGATCACGAATCACAATGCCAATTCCAGGTGATAATATTCATTTGCGCGCAAGTCAAAATCTCATAAAAATAAAATGAAATGTCTACACATTTCGCCCTACTTTTCTGTTTTTGTTCCTTATTCCTCCTCCCATTTACTTTGTCGCCATACTTTTCCACTTCCCGTGTTCATATCATTATTTTTTAATAAAAAAGCGTGGAAGTTTCCAGCGTCCCTACAACCAACCACCTCTATAAAAGCCCGACCAAACCCACATCCTTTAACCCACGTCTTAATTTTTTCTCTGGTTGGCGCAAAGATAATTGAAAGGTTTGATTTCGAGGTTTGGTTAACGATGCAAGTCATGAGTTCGTCACTGTCTTTGTCTCCCAGCTTTACCATGTATCATGGAACCGGATTTTCGGACATCGATGGTAACTTTACCCATGATTTTGGAGTTAAATTACAGTTCGAAACCGACGATCAAAACAAGGAACAAGAAGAGAAGACAAGCAATCAGCCGGAAATAGATGAGGAAGAAGAAGAGGAAGAGGAAAACGAAGACGAAGAGTTTTCCTTTGTTTGTTTAAATCCCGATGGATCCCCGATTTCTGCGGACGACGTGTTCCAAAACGGTCAAATCCGCCCGGTTTTTCCTTTATTTAACCAAGATCTACTCTCTGCGGACGAAGATGGCCCTATTTTGAAGTCCGAAGAGGGTGAAGTCTCTCTACGGCCTCCATTGAGGAAGCTTTTCGTCGAAGATTCACCGGCCACAACGTCATCGAGCTCGTCTGATCCGGTGGGACCGCACTGCGAGTGGAGGAGAGGTGGAAGAACCGTAGAGGAAACCTCACCGAACACGTGTAAGAAAAGCAACTCCACTGGGTTCTCCAAGCTTTGGAGGGTCAGAGATTTGATGCATCGAAGTAGCAGCGACGGTAAAGACGCGTTCGTATTCTTACACCATCCGCCCTCTACCTCGTCGGTAAAAACTGAGAAGAAAAATGAAAAAGAAGAGAAGAATTTGAAGGTGAAAGAAACAGGAGAAAAACCAATGGTGAAGAAAGAGAAGAGTGGTAAAACGGCGTCGCTGTCCGCTCACGAAAAGCTTTACGTTAAAAACAGAGCTATGAGGGAAGGGGATAAACGGCGGTCATACTTGCCGTATGGGCAGGTCGGATTTTTTACTAATGTCAACGGGCTGAGCAGAAATGTTCATCCGTTTTAGGTTTTTAATTTAATTATATCATTATTACTACTAATTTTTAATTTAATTAATTAAGTTGTTTATGTAAATCTTGGGAGTACATGGTGTGAGTTTTATTAGCGATTTGGAAGGCGGCAATATAAATCAAGATTTCAAGGTGATGTATTCAACTTATTCTTTTTTGTACATATAAAATTTCTTAGCAGTCCAATAATCTATTATTTTTAAAATTTTATGAGTATTTTATTTATTATTATAACGTAAGATTTAATAATTTGTGTATTTTATATTTAATGTATATAAAATATAAAAATTATAATTTCATAATTTATGTTTATATTTTATATTTAAAATATATATTTTTTATTTTTGATAAATTTATATACAACTTTTTATAAAATTTTAAATCATAGTAATTTTATTGTTTTTATAAGATTGATGATATAAAATAATAAATTTTAATGCTTACAATGTTGGTTTCATTTTTTCTTATAAAAAATATATATAAATAATCACTCAACTTTAAGATTTTTTTAAAATGATCATTTAAATATTAATTTTTTAATTCAATCACTTAAATTTAAATAAATATTTTTTATTGATTAATGTTATTACCACGTTAGTTGTCAGTTGTCATGGGACATTGCCATGTTATTCAACAAGCATCTAACGTCGCATTATAAATAAAATTAAATAAATTTTAGTCACTTAACTTTTTAATAATTTTTATTTTGATTACTTAATTTTAAAAATTTATAATTTAATCACTAATAAATAAATTCTCAATTTTATAAAATAATATAAATAAGTATTTGATTTTTTATTGAATATAATTGAATTAAAATTTTTTTATTTTATTGTAATGATACCATTTAAATTTGCAAAGTGAAAGAATATTATCCATTTGCAAAAATTATTCAAATAATATTACTTTAAAATTTTATTATTCAGCTTATCTAAATAAACTCAATTAAATATTTTATATTTCATAATATAAAGATTTAGTTTTAATTTTATGTAATAAAATATTATAGGAAATATAGATAACAAAATAAAATAAAATAATTTATTATATTAAATTTCACAAAACCGTTGGTGATTAAATCCTTATAAAGCTATGATGAGGGTGACATCAAAATAATAATAACTTCACAAACATTGGTGACAAAAATATAAAAAATTTAAAAGAGTTACCTGAATTTATTTAGATTAATTGAACTTCAAATATTTGAAACAATAATATTTTCAAAAAATTGATAATTGATTAATATTCTTCTATTTTTCAAATTTAAATAATATAATTATAATAAAATAAAAGTTCATAGTTTAATTTCATACAACAAAAATATTGAATGTTTGCTTCTATTTTTTTTATAAAATTCAATAACTTATTTGAATATTATCTCAATATATTTCGATCGGTAATATAAATAATAAAATAATTTATTGTATTAAATATCATAAATGTCGATGATCAACTCATTATAAATTTACAGTGACAATGAGTTTTAGACAATAAATATCAAAACATTAATAAATCCCATATTTCATAATGTCAAGATTTTAATTACAATAAATTTATATTATCTATATTTCTTTTAATATTTTATTACATAAAATTAAATAAAACATTTGAAATATTATGAATTTTGTTTAACTATAATGAATTTTATTGTAATTGGAATCTTGATATTATAAAATATAAATACTTACTTGAATATATTTAAATGGATTCAATTGCAAAATTTTGAAGTAATGCTATTTTAATAATTTTGACAATCGGATAATATTCATCTATGTTTCAAATTTAAATAATATAATACAATAAAATAAAATATTTATAATTTAATTTCATGCAATAAAATATCGATGCTTATTTATATATTTTTTAAAAAATTGATGAATTATTTATTAGTGATTAAATTATAAATGTTTAAAGTTGAATGATTAAGATAGAAATTTTAAAAAGTTAAGTGATTGAATTTTTTTTTTTTTCAAAATTTATAATGCTACATCCGCACAATGCCACTAAGCTTATTCAATGACATGGTATTGTCACGTGGCGCTTGACAACTAATGTGGTATTGCCACGTCAGAATGCTTTTAGTCATTACCAGTTTAATGACAAAAAAAAAAAAATTATTCAAACTTAGGTAACTACAACAACAAGAAGTTAAGTTTTATATCCCATAATTTTAGGTTAATTATATGAAAGCAAAAAAAAAAAAAAATTATATTAAGTCATAATTTTAAATTTTTTTTGTCACTTATTTCTATAGAAATAATCTTTTCATCTACTCCTTAACCTTCATATTATTTTTATTATTTGCATCAACATCTTATGTGATTTATCTCTAGAAACTTTGGTTTTGCTTAAATTCATAAGCTTATTTCTCTTAATTAATGTATAAATAAACTTACGTGTCACATGTTCAAACTATCTCAAACGATCTTTTTTTATGTTGTCCTCAATTTGGATTATTTCTAATTTTTTTTTTATATTTTTTCATTTTTTAGTTTATTTTTTTTAATCTTATCATACATCTATTTATATATCTTAATTTTCTGTTACACTTATTTTTTTTTTCATATTGTTTTTCAACGGGCCAACATGCAATCTCATAAATTAACGTAGGTCTTATAGTTGTTTAAAAAATTTCGCCTTTAACTTAAATCATTAAACTGAAAAAATATATTACTTAGATGACTATTTTAAAAAGACTTCTAAAATTAAATGATTATTTATATATTTTATCTTTAAAATAATAAATCCGAATGCCTGTGGATCATGTTTATCTTCATGATAAAAGGTTAATAACATCTTAATCATATATATTATTAAAACTTTAATTGCATTAAACAATAATGAATAGAGAAAGCCTCCCTGCCTTTTTTTCTAATCTCAAGCGACGTAAAGAAGAAAATTTTTTTTTATTTCATCCTTTTCAATTATGATGCTAATTTTCTTTTAAAAGAATAAAATGCTAAAAATTACACACTTTCAAGAATTTTCAGATGTGCCAATCACATCATATATTTTGAGAAGACAAATCTAGGATAGAATGATGGCATAACTTAGAACCATAAAGTTCATTTGACACCAAATATTTTTTCTTCCTTGAGTAACATATTTCTTTAGTAGGATATATTTAATTAGTAGGATTTATTTAGAAAGATAGTAAAATTAATTTTGATGAGATTAAAAATAAAGAAAGAGATGAAATTGATTATTGTAATGATGAGATTAAAATTAATGGTGAAATATATATTTAAACACAAAAGTTATAATAGCACTGAGATAAATTATATTGAAAGTTTTATATAATTTTTTTTAATAATTTAATATTTATAAAATTTGATAATAAATAATAAATTTTATTAATAAATAACAAAATGTATTTAAATTATTTATTGATGTATTAACTAATAAAATTTATTTATTATGTTAAATTAACAAATTTATTTTATATTTTTTAAATAAAAATTAAATTTTTTTTATATAATAGTAAATTTTAAAGGATAAAAATATAAAAAATCCCCCCACTAGCCAGTTATTAACTGAATCAAAATTGACTAGTTGATGACCGACCATTTTTCAATTGAACCAAAATATCATTTGACTACAAAAATTAAAACAAACACATCTGTTCATTAAAATTGCACCGCACTGCCGCTGCTGCGGTGTAATCCAAATGGAGTAATAGTTTATCGCAGTTTTTAGTAGTAGTTTCTTTTTTGAGCATTGCCCGCTGAAACCTTCATTTTACAACCTTGAGAACACGATTCATGCTCCTAACAATTTTGTCAATTTTCTCCCCATAAAGTCGATGATGTTTCTATCTTTAAGAAAAATTTAGTATGGTCCATTGGCAATCAATAAACCAGAATTTTAGTATTCTTAAAAAAAATAAACAGAATTTTATTATGGTCAATTGCCAATCATAACAAAGTCCTCATCCTCAACCGTGGTGAAGTATTATTTCGTGCACATTAAGAAATTTCCAGGGAATTTTGGAGTTTCTAAAGCCAAATGCTTGGATTTGACAACATATTATATTTTGCTTTCAGTCTCACACACTCTTGCCTCCTTTTACAAGATGCACGAACGTGTAAAGAAATTTCTGAGAAAAAAAGAAAAACACTTTGATGCTGGCAAAAGAGCTGTTTGGATTTGACAGCACCCTTTTTTGGGTTCACAGGAAAGTGGGTTTCACTGCTTTCTGATCAACTACGTGCCAAAGCAAATAGAATTGTCTTTTTTTTTTTTTTGGTTTTTTGCACAGGCCAATTTCAACAAAGGGACCTTCCTTTACCCGACCTTTTTAACAGTCGGCTCAGGAAAAGTGGACCATGTTTGGATTCCTGGAAAACTCCCAATCCTACATGAAACCTTCATTGGTTTTCATTTTTTAAACTGTTTTCAAGTTTTTATAAGCAATTTGTTTACACAAACAATAATCATCTAACAAAGCACACTGGTAGGACAAAGCTAACACTAGGGCTGGGGACTATAATCACAAAAGTGCCAATGTCAAGTACTCCTTCGAGTCTTGAGATAGCACGGATTCCCTATTTCATGCATGCAATGCCAGATGGTGTCCTCTAGAAACAGAAAGGTTGAGCAAAGAAAGGAAAACAAGAATAAGGAAGTAGGTTGCCTTTGGACATGGGCAGGGCCAACTACTTTTCAGTAAGGGGTCAAAATAACACACAATGAAATCATATGTGACATTCTAAACAAGTAAAATTTACAACTTTATTCCAAAACTGAGTAAGTTCGATCAATAACTAATGACAACCCCACCTATCTCCAAAAAGGAGGTCAAGAGTTCAAATATGTCCGCTCCAAACAATTCACATACTTTAATTATGTAAAAACTCCAACATATGAATATGAAAAGACTAATATTTTGGCAAGTAAGATAAAGTTTATCATCCTAGAATCACATGGCACAAGTTTTTATCATGATTGATCATGTCAATTGTAAATGTGATTTTAGGTTATAAGAAAAGGAGGTTCATATAGTCTTATAATTCTTATCTCTTACAGGGCTACTTCAAAAATATTTTGGGGTGAAGAGGTCATGACCCTCCCATCCCATTGCAACCTCTTGAAGATTTTGATATTAGTGTAAAATAACTAATTCTGAACAAAATAGAATGCATGCATAACAAATGAAAATGTAATTTATTAACACATTACAGGTGCATCCTCATCATTATTGCAGATATAAATACAGTAATAGACACATTTAAAAGAAACACCGTTTCTAATCGGCCTTCTTTTATCAGCCAAATTCTGTTATGTAGCATGCAGGTTGCACCCATTTTATCATGGACATTAACATAATTTAGCGCAGGTCAAAGATCTCAAACCTTAGATTTGAATTTTTGTAGACATGAGTGCAGTGTTCGTAAATGGGGCTGCCACTTACTGGTTCTTTGTGAGAATGAAATTGAGATCCTTTCTCTTGGCATTCTTTCAGTACACTCATCCCACTGGGGTCAGATACCCGGAATATTCCATAACTCCTGGGAAAAATTCAATAAGGAAAGCTCAATGCAATTAACTTGATCATAATTTAACATATTCAGAAAACGTTTTACTGATATTTCTCGTTGATTTGTTCATAGAGCAGTTTTATGCTTTTTCACTTAAATAATGAGAGTATTCTAGTTTTTCTTGCAAAGGTTTTACCTTTAGAGCTTACCCGTTGAGGCAGTCTCACCTAGCATGTGGTTCTAAATTTTATTTTATTTTATTTTTTGCAATCTAAAACATGTAGAATTCATTTGTTTGAGAGTGTAAGTAAATTGAGAGCTACACAGTAAGGCTGCACTGCATTTTTAGATAAACTCAGATGAAGCAAAGTCAACAATGATCAAAGACTTTTCTGCTTATACCAGCTAGATTCATAGTTTACATTTTACAGAATGTAAAGAATAGTAAATTTGATAGATTTATGAGAACTGGCTCAAAAAAATATTTTTAAAAAAGGTGGATACAAATCCATTTTATATTAAAGGCACATCAGTGTTAAATATAATGGCAGTCAGCAGATGAGACACAGAATAACTTGGCAATTGAACAAAATAAGGAAATAAAGAAAATAAAAAAGCTAATGATGGAAGAGGAAGTGATATTGATATGTTATAGAAGCAAAAGAGAAGTCATGTTTATTAGAGGTGATGCAAAACATATCTGACCAGCAGGATGAAAACAAAATTATAGCACCAAATACAAAGAAACTGGATGAAAGACCCAAATATGAAGATGAAGGCATTATCAGTATTATGTGGTACTTGCACAAACAATTTCATACTCCAAGTTGTGAACAATTGAATCGTTGTGTATGAGTGGCATACCTTGAGTTATCTGTAGGAGCCACAACAATGGCAAAAGCCTCAGGAACCATTACCTGAATACAGTTTAAGAAAAAAAGGTCATATTGTGGCAATAATCTCAATAGCTAACAAGGGAAAAACTATCATTACAACTGCATTTTACATGTAACTTCCATTTAGAAATTATTATGTTTGTTTTCTAAAAGATTGCTTTTCAAAATCTCAGAATATGAAACAGGTTAAAACATAAGAGATAAGACAGTTATCCAGAGCGGGATAAACAGATAAGAATCTGGGATGATCTAGACCAAACCTTTGAGCAATAATTGGGGTGCATAAACGATTAACTCAATTACCTGATATGAGTATTGAGTATGGAGATCTATTGATGACATGAAACAACTCTGAGAAGGGTGTGTCTGAAAGTAAATAAGAAAAGTAATACAGAGGTCAGTTTGAGGGCATAGCAGGTACTAGCAACTGGAGATTTTAACTTTTTCTTGTAAAATCTACAGAGGAAAAAAACAGGGATCTAAAAGAAACTAATGAAAGAAAGGAATGGACATACGTGTATCCATCCCACAGGAAAAAGGGACCGGTCATTTTGTATTGCAAATATTTCCTCCTCATTTACAGCCTGACACTATCGTTCATTATTGACAAGTTAACAGCTGAAAGCTCTGAGTGTAAGATAAGGTAAAATATTAAAGCAAATAAAGATGTGAAAAGCCCTACACACTTACAGAATTTGAAGTTGATTCCTGTTTAGGTATTATCAGAGTGGTTACATAGAATGTCCCCTTTTCCTGATTCATTAAAGTAAAGGATGTGGATGAGTTGAAATAAAAAGTCTTGCAAATTAGTTAAACACAGAAGTAAAAGTTCACGAAAAACACCTCAAAGAACATGACAAGAATTAGCAACTTTAATAATGGCATGCTGATTTTAGCAGCAAAAAATTGTTTAGCAAAAAAAAATAAAGGTGAACTAGCTCACTTGAATGCAAATAAGAAACGCAAGTATATTAAGAATAAAACGGATTCCAGCTACAGTGTTTAAAACAATAGTAGACAATAGTTTGAATGCAGGAATTATTTCACCTAAATGATACTATTGATGGGATTCCTGTTAAGCCTCATGAGTGGAAAATTTTCCAAGACTGGGCTTAAGTTGGTTATAGGTCTATAGTAATTTTTGTCAGAATATGCAAACCTAGGTCTATGCTAGATTTCACAAATTTCTAAACAGGACAGCATACAAGGCTATATTGAAGTCCTCAAATCTTTGAGCCAACATAACAGCAGGCAAATAAAACAGCTAAAGCGACATTCCCACCAAACTAAATTTTCATAGTACCATTTACAATGTTATGCTTCTACCAGCTTCCAATTTTTTCATGAAATAGTTGTAGACAAATTTATTTTATAAAGAAGCACTTTTTAGAGCATGAACCTTACAAGAAAAGAACCAATTATGCCAACAAACAGAGCAGGCTATGATCCTAAATATCAACAGCATAAAACAATGTCAACATTAACGAAGCCATGAATCTTACAAGAAAAGCACCAAGAACACCACAGGTTTCCAGATCCTTCTCTGTGTTGTCCTTAGCTAGTTCAAGAAAATCCTCCATTAATCGAGCTGACTAAGAAAAAACAAAAATATAAGCAACCCTTATCAGCTACTATGCCATTTCAAGACAAAAACGCAAACTCCAAACGAATTAATATATTTGAAGGTGTGAGGCAAACTGAAAGGAAAGAAAGAGAAGGAGAAATTTTTAGGCAAGCTTAAAGCTACATGATAAGAATGGCACTTATATTCTACATTTTTTTTGGGGGGGGGGGGGGGTGAGGAGTTGGAAAAAACTTAAAGGGGTTTATATGGAAAAGACAGCAAAACTGTATAATTTAAGGTTTATTACTATATGCACATCCTGCAGCACCCTAGAAGCCTCTGGTTCATTGTATGACTGCTGGTCCAAATCAATTACACGTGAAACATGTGAAGTTTGAGATACATTCTCAGTGAAAGAGAGTATAGTAGATGGAGAAGATTGAGTAACAGCATGAACTTTGATGAGCTTGCATGTGGTGATTGTCTGATCTGGGATCGGACAAAGAGATTCATGTCCTAAGCAACTACTTGCAGAATCAAGTTCATTACAAGATGCCAATCCAACTTTTTCCTCAATAAAGATCCTCAAACTGTAACCAAGCCAAACAAATAATAAATTTGATATTGCTCATAAAAGAAAAAAGTTTCGGAATTGAGAAGATAACCTTGAAAGCATACCAGATTTAAGGAATATCATAAAATTATACCTTTGACATTCTGTTTGAGCTATGCCGCAGCTTCTCTCCTGTAGAGTAAAGTCAACAAAAAATCAACCTTTAACATTTAACTACAATCAAAGATAAAGAAAAATTTTCCTTCTGATAATTCTAAACTTGTTAGTCTCTAGTTTCCATCCAAATTATGAAGTACAGAGAATTAATTAGACTGCTAACACTATTGATGAAGTAAACTTGGGAAGTGTTTTTTCTCTAAAAGAAAAGTTTCCCATTAGCAAGTATTTCAAAATTCAAACTGCAGAAAGCCCAGTGATAACTAATGTTTAACCATTCTTTTGTTCTAATTGGGTAGATAAATTACTAACTACCATACTCAAGTAACTAAAGTTTCATTAGATTGTTGAGACCTTTATACGAAAGGCAGATAGTGCAAATAACATTATAACACGATAACATGTCTATGAACATAAAATTTTCTCCGTTGTCCTGGAAATATCATTTCCTAGCACATTTGTGAAACTCCAAATCTCTCATTTCCCATCTTAAAACAAGCAATAGCATTAGAAGTTAGAACACCAAGCTTCATTGTAGGACTGTCTACCTTGCAGTAGTGAAGCCCTTTGCTTGTCAAATGGGTTGAAAAACACTACACAACTCCAAGGAATAAGCAAATAAATCATCAATTGATTCATTTAGTTGTTTGTTTTGCTACATGACTTAGGTTTTAGAAAAAAAATAAAAAAGCGAGTTCAGTTAGTAAAGCAAAACAATAAGGAAGAAAAAAAAAAAGAAATGCAAAAAGCCAGTAGGTAGAGAACAACAAAAAGTTTCACCTTTCGTGTTAATTTCACCAAGAAAATTAAACCATCCACTCTGAAAATGACAACCCTTTTTTTTTTAAGAGATTAAAGCTAAATTGAAACATCAGTACAGTCACTATCAACCAAAAAATAAAAATTTTTGAGACCTCAAACCAATGCTAAGAATCTAAAAAATAAGAATCATACAAATAAATAAGCTGATAGAGACAAATTCATAGATAATCCAGTGATTTCAGTCTTATTCAAGAGAAGCTGATATAGACAGATTCGTAACAGAAAAGAAAAAAACGAGGTTAAAAAATCTTTGTACCTGCGAATATCTGTTGTTTGTCAGCTGAGAAAATCTGTCGTCTGCCATCTAACATGCTTTTTTAGCTTTCTAATCAAACAGAAATAAACCCAGAAAAAAATATCGAGGTTTAAAAAGCAGTTAGGCACATTGTTCCACGTCCATGAACCTGAATATAGCTTTTTCTTTTTTTTTTTCAATATTAATATTATTTTCGTTTATGCCATGTGGCCTTTCGTTAAGAAAAAAGAGTTCCGGATCGCTCATTGGATTAAGAAAATATGATAATTTTAAATCCGTATAATTATATGAAAATAATATAAGAAAATACGAAAGTACTAAAATTTTAAATAAAATCATATGAACTTGACAATAATAAAATATATTTTATTAATAAAATATATATTTTTATTTAAATAAAGCATAAAATGTAATATAATAATTTTATATATTAAACATATTTTTTAAAATTAAAATACAAAAATTATCAAATTTTATCATAAATATCGGTTGGGATAAAGTTTTCTCAAACTTTTCTTTTAAAAAATTATATAAGAATTGAAATTTCTCAAATTTTTTTTATAAAATAAAATAGGAATTTTTTTAGAAATCAAACAAAAGCTAATGTGCATTACCCACACTGTGAATTGGCGAAATTATATCATCAAATTATAATGATTTTTCAGAGATTTGCGTATGTTGTTTGAATTGAAGTTTCTTAATTGGTTCACATTGCATCCACACAGTTCAACTCCATTAGTTACAACCATTTCTTTTCACTTGTAGATTTTGTTCTTAGAGCTCAATCATGGATGACCATTCCACTGTCACCACCAGGTAGGGCTATAAAACAATTATATAGTGATCTTAATTCCAATCGATTTTGAACTTCTGATGTAGTAGGTGCTTCAAGACGAGACCTCAACTATTTATGGATGGGACAAAAAACATTGAAATCAACCCTATGAATCACAATTCTTTGTCAGCAACAGTATTTTTTTAATTATTATTATAGTTATTATTTGATATTTGGAATGGCGTTGTTATTACTGGCAGGATGTACATGTGACATGTATAGCAGGTCATTCATGGATTCACCCTTCAAAGAAGCAGTCACCATCCTATAGCAATCATATTTACTCAACCTTTTCCGGTCCATAAAATCTCAGAACGGGCACAAAAGTGAACTGGCTTTGGTGTTGGATTCTTTCACCTATCTAATACTAATGAAAGTAAATTTGATCATATATCGAAGGGCTAGGCTGACATTTGACAATTAATGTGGAAAACAGGAATGTTATGAGTGTAGCCCTTATGAACCACCCGCAAATTAGAAACAATAATAAAAAAAAAGGGAGTACCATGCTGACTTGATAAAATAAGCATTGATGGAAAAGCTGTGTCCCAGCACGGGATGATGGAAAAGATGTAAGCATTGACGGAGCCAGAGGTTGAGATGATTGTGCTGTGCCTTGTAGCTGTTCACTAGCAAAAGCCTTTGATTGCACGTCTGTTCTTGATATATAATTGATGGACGTTACCAAGCAAAATGTGTTTGTGATCAGGCGCTCAAGGATATGCAATTACTATGTCTATTATTGGAACTAACAAAAGTTATTTCATGGATGAAACATTCCAATAGCTAAGCCATCTTTACAATAGAGACAGCCACCCAAATATCGGCCAAAGCGCTTAAAATATATGTCACTTCTTACCTTGATTTGAGTCAATTTCCTGTCCGAATGTCACATTTGAAGGACAGAAGGTGCATCCTTCAATTTGCACAATGGAAAAAAAAATTGGAGAGAATTAATTATGAAACAAAAAGATCAATGTCCTTACAGGAACACGACGAAAGGCTTCATCTGTCTTATCACCTGTAAGGCCCCTCTTCTCAAGAAAGGAGCGCCTGAAGCTGACTGGACTTCTTCCAACTGTTTGATTGGATGTAATAGAAACTTAGTAGCCATTCATTGGTTCAGAGTTCAAAAATGCAGAATTCTCTGAAGTTTCTCTCGATTTCTCTCTCTTCCAATTATTTTTTCAAACTCTGGAAATGATTCCAGACCGAATAGCAATAATCCAAAATAAATTTGTAAACTTTAGAGCAATACATTGCATTCTCAAGTCTATCACTGAAGGGATATGTTCAATTGATAAACCTTATTACAAGGTTTACTCTTTTGATGCGTGAACTATTTTCACGTGATCACAAGCATAAGAGACGAGGGAGAAATTTTCTGCAAAAAATAGATGGCGTCAGTTGGAAAAGTAGAGATCATATAGATTTAGAACAGGGACAAGGCTTTGATCACACATGAAAATTAGATACGACGATTTTAAATACTACAAAAACTATATAAAAAAAAATGAAAGATATTTTTCTATTGTTGTGAGACTGAATCTTGGGCTGAATTTCAGCGAGCCTGGCCTGTTAGTTTTAACGTTTTTAAACCAAGAGTGCGGCAATGGCTGTCGATCTTTTGGGTCATGGACCAGAATTCATGAACTATGTGTTTGGGCTTATTTTTAGGTTAAAATTGAAGCTCAACTAAAAGGTGATTGCTCCAATCATCATTATTCTTTTGCCTTTATTTCTCATTTATTTTTTTTAAAAATTGTAAATATCTCCATTACTATTATCTTGGAGAAAAAAAAAAACGAAACATCTCTATTGTTATCACTTTACCATCTACTTTTTTTTTTTTTAATACACTCCCTTTGTCTAGTTCATAGCTAATGAGCTTTCCTAATTCAATCTATGTACATAGAAAAGTTATGAAATAATTTTTTTTTTAATTTAATTCTCAGAAGATCATATAGATTTTAGATCGAATTAAACTAAAACCTTCACACTTCTCCTGAAATTTGACTTTTAAATTATAATATGTTTTTATCTTGGTAAAATTATTTTTATGTTATAATCGGTATTGAAAAGTATTGACTTGCTCCAAAGCAATTATAAGAAAATTTTGGAAATTAAAAGAGTAATCAATCATTGATTTGAAATATATATTAAAAATTAATTATAATTGGTTGCAATCCATAATATCTTTTATTATTATTATTATTATTATTATTATTATTATTGTTATTGTTTTTTATATATTATGTACATCATCTATATAAATAAGATTTTTTATACAGTTTCATACTATTTCAAATATCAAACTTTTGAGCATTTTCTTTCATAGATATAGGTCACCATAACTAAACCATGTATCTCGTTACTTTTCTATTGTTATTGTTCATTTGCAAATTATTCTTGCTTGAAATTTAACATAATATCGTAGCATCTTTGATCTTAACTTTCATTGTTTTTTATTTCATTTTTTTATCATCTTTGAAGTTTTTCAATAACTTTCCCAATATCAATAAATGGATTTTATCAGCTCATGTGATGAGTTTTAATTACTCGATTTTTCATTCAATTTTTTAACCATTCAATTATGGGAAAATTAAATTAGTGTTTCATTTCAGAAAATAGAGTTATTTTTTATTTTTATTTTTTAAGAAAATAAAAAATATGAGTAAAATCGTGTTTGATAATTAAAAATAAAAATAAAAATAAATTTTTAAAAAACAAAATTGAAAATGGATTGAAATATGAAAATAAAAAAAAAAAAGATATTTTCAATTGTAAAAATAAGATATGTACATTACTTTTTTCTTTATATTTTGCAAGTTATCATATTTAAACACTTTTTAACATCATAAATTAATAAATATATGTTACATTTATAATTAAATGACATTAATAGTAATATAATTGAATATTTTATTTATTTATTTATTTTTGTATTTTAAAAAATAATTTTTATTTTTATTTACCAATAGATTTTTTAGAAAACAAAATATAAAAAATAAAAACTTTTTTTAAAAAAATGAAAATAAGAAAAAACATTTTCTCACACCAAACGTAGCCTAAATATTTTATTTTCAAAAAATCATTCTTACAAAACCTCAGCACCTACTTCCTCACTTCAAATCAAAACCAAGTGGACCTCATTTTTTACAATGTTTCTTTTTTCATCGATCATACCATAAAGATCTGTTAGGTTTTGATTTATGCAATTTTTTTTTTTCAAATTGACCACTATAAATTAATTTTCACGTGCCAACTTGAGGAGAATTGTGAGAAAATATTTACTTTCTCCAAGACAATTTCAAGAAAATTTTGAAAATTGAAGGAGCAATTAATAATTGGTTTGAAACATATATTTAGAATAAACTTTCGGTTTTTTTTTTTATATATATTATTTACATCACCTAAGTATATAGGATTCTGTATATAATTTTATGTAAATCAAAACATAATAATGTGGCATTTTGAGTCTTTCTAAACATCGTAACTGAACCTCGTGTCTTTTTCTGTTCTTATCTTTCTATTGTTATTTTTCATCCACAAAAATTATTTTTATTTGAAATTAAAAAGATAAAGGGCTTGGTGGCTGTAAGACCTGACAATTGAGAATAGAACTACCAAGCATTTTCCAACATGAGATTCTAATCCATAATTTTACTGGATAGAAGAAGGCCTTGTCGTCACACATTTCACTTTCTTTATGCAATGGGAAGCCTTGAATTGACCCTTCCTCCCATATTCTCCTGCCCTCATTTTTTCATATATTCCCCCCATTTGTCCCAGTCAAAGCAAATTTTCATCCCTAGAAATCGCCCTCCACTTTCCTTCATAACACATTGCTTATTCGAGAAATCGAAAAGGCGCCTATTGTCGCTGACCTGACTTCCAGCCTCCAAGTTAGTATTTCTTATTTCCTACTTGGACTCTTCATTCTTTTTCCCTGTCTCTTAATGTTTACAGTTTGAAGACCAAGTCTGAAAACGTGTCTGGTTGTTGTTGTAGTTCAAAGAACAACGTAAAGGAAAACATGAAAAGGACAAAAAGAAAAAGGATATTGAAGAGCTCTCATACTTATCAAATTAGAATAAATGAAAATTGAAATTCTTTCAAATCGTTTTCGATAATTTATTGAAATTAATATGTTGATTGTTCGTTTAATGAAATTAAATCGGTTTTAACCAAATTATCAACAACCATAGATGAGAGCGATTAGGAGAAGAATAAAAAAAAAAAAATGAATGTTGATAACTATTGCTTAATTTGATCCATTTCTGTTCAGTGATTTGTCCCATGAGCATATATTTGTATAGGAGCCACCACCATCAATCAAGTGAAGTTATTGTTGACAAAAAATGGATCTCTAAAATCTGTACCCATTATTAAATTCATTTATCCATCATCTCTTAACATTATAATTCTGATTTTGATATGATGACAGGGTTTTAGGTGACGAAACAAGGTCGGTGACTTTAAGAGAGGTGTGGCCTCATCGACAATAATGATTTTTTGTAATCCCTAGGAAAAAGGTCAAAATTTCATAATTACTTTTGGAACTTCTCCTTTTTCCATTATGTATATTTGGTTGAACGTGTTTGATAAAACAAAACAGGGGAGTGAATTGAAGCCGAAAAGTGAAACCCATGGCTGGGAAATTTACAAAGTGTATGATGCTTTGTTGCTCGGCAAAGGAACCGGTAAGATTATATATATCTCACTTTTTGCATTAATTCTTTTTTACCAAATTGCAAAAGTTTCGGTGGCATATTTTATCCCATTTTGGGTGCATCCTAATGCAAATTAATGATGGCAAGATTTTATTTGGCAATGTTAGTACTTATTACTATTAGAGATTGTTTTTGATTTATTGTAGTAAAAATTTTAATTCCACAAAATTGATATTTATTTGATTTTTTAATATATCTTAAAGGTATGTGTTTCTTTACTTATCCATTTAAATTAAAAAATTTATCCAATAGTTCATTAAATAAATTTTTTTAGCTTTTTCAATATTATTAAATATATTCTTAGATAAACAAAATATTGAGATAAAAAAATAGGATATTTGAAGATCACAACGGATTAAATTGGGATGGATTTTTGTTTGTCCCGAATTTAATCCGATTTTATACCTATAATATCTGAACTCGAATTATCCTGACCTGATTTTCTAAAATTATTTTATATTCGAACCCGATTCTATCCAATATTATATGAAATTATATCCGATCCGATAGGATCTGAAATTAATAAAATATTATTTTTTAAATAAAAATATTATTTTAATATAAATATAAATTTAAATAAATATAATATATATAAAATATAAAATTAAATAAATAATTAAAAATAAATTTTTATAAATATATATCAAATAGGATCAGGACAGATTTATTTAAAATCTAAGCCTAAAATTCTTTTATTGTTACCTAACTCAATTTAAAACTTGATTTAAAAAAAAATCCTAAATAATTAGATCGAATTGAAACCATCAATTACGGTAAATTTGACATTGTTAAATATACTGTTAACCAACGAAGACAAATCAAGCTTTTTATATGTGCAATTATTAAAACTGTGTTAAAATAAATCACTTTAACATACCAAATAAGAAAAATCGATGAGTGATTAAGATGGGAAACTAATTAAGGATGCAAATGGTAAAGTTGACAAGGATTAAGAGTTTGAGATTGTGAAAATTATTAGGCGGCATGTGAGCCAATAGTACACTCATTGAGATTAAATCAAAATTTGTGGGTATTATGGTGGGGTAGGCTTCAGTGATTTTGAAAGGCTAACAAGGAGCACCACAATTGGTTAAGGAATATTAACTGAATATCCTTAACACTATGTTTGGTAGAAAAAAAAAAAAAAGGAAATGTTTAAATTTTAAAAAGAGAAAATTAAGAAAAAGAAAAGTGAGAAAAAATTTATTTTTTTGTGTTTAGCATGAAAAATAAAAAATAACATAAAAAAGAGATATGGGTAAAATTATAAATAATATGTTTAATTTAAGTAAAAAGAATATCTTTTATTTTCCAATTTGAAAATATAAGACTTGGATTTTTGGAAGAAAGGAAAATGTAATAATCCATTAATTTTCCTTCATTTTTCTTTGTTTACTTCCTATCAAACAAAGAACAAAAAGAAAAGAAACTTCATTCTTTTTTTTCTCTCTTTTCTTTTTATCAAACATAATATAAATATATATGTGTCTTGATTTCAATTAAAAGATTTGGTTACTAAATGAAGAGAAGAGAATCATAGTGATCATAAACCTTTAAAAACAAAATCTTGAATACACCAAATTGATGCGAAGAGCACAGTTCTAAAATTATTTGAATAAATGATTAAATCCAAATAAAATTTAAAGGTATCATTCACAATATTTTAAAAAAAAAATTGGGTTTACAATATCAATACATATTAGGGATGGCAACGGGTCGGGTCGGGGCAGGTTTTTGCTCGCCCCGAACCCGACCCGATAATTTTTTCATCTTTAATACCCGAACTCGACCCGATCCGACATTGTATAAAATCAAATCCGACCCGACCCGAAATTAATAAAATATTATTTTAAATATAAATATAAAATTAAATATATATAAAAATATATATAATTAAATATAAAATTAAAAAAATAATTTTTTTATATATATCGGGTTGGGTAGGGTTGGGTTTGCTTAAAACCCGACCCCGACCCGAACCCGAATTTTTTTTTACCCTACCCGATCCGATACCCGATTTTCAAAAAAAAAAAAAAAAACAGATCCTAAGAGGTTGAGTCGGGTCGAAACCCGACGGATTCGGGTGATTTTGTCCACCCTAATACATATACAGGTGATTGAGCACAGTATAGGTCTATATTGAAGCTGAATAATGTATGGTTCAGAATTATATTCATTAATAATTATATTCCTCGTTGGCATCACCATGGATGTTGGGGAAGGGTAGAGAAGTTAGCATCAATGCTAGGCCAAAAATACAATGGGGACACATGGAAAAGCACTTTGTCGGGGGAAAAAATTTACACTAAGCTTTCTAAGTGAAGTTTAGAAATTTTTTTATTAAAAATGAGTAAATAAAAATTAAAATTAAAAAATTAAAATTGTTAAATTAAAAGATTTTATCAAATAAATCAAGCATATAATTTTTGATATATTTATTAAATAGATATTTTTAGTAAAAATATTGATAAAATTTTTATTATTAAATAAATATCGATCAAATTTAAATTATAAATAATATTTTTAATATTTTTTACTTATTATTAATATTCATATCAAACTTTATCAGTCTATTAATTTAAATTTTTTATTAAAATTTTTATTTACTCATTTTTAATAAAAAACTTAAAAAATTTTACCTATAAAATTGAATATAAAATTTATCCTTTGTTGATTATTCTTACATCCAAATCATGATAACCAAACCTCACCTTTAAGTTTTAACAATTTTTACGTGAATGTATCAGACTTGGTCGCCAATCAAAGTTTACAAATGCACTTTCACATATATTTTACCTTTTAAGTTCATGGAATTTCACAAATTTTGATGTGGATTACTTTTCCCGTGAAAGAGATGTTTTGTTCATTAAATTTTACGATTGACTTGACTCTATTAAGTCACACAAGATTTCATAAACTCAAATTTATGTTTTTTTCTCACAGTTCAAACTTGAAATTAAAAGCAAAATGAAAAGTATACTTGAAGCATTTAGTTATATGTGGAGGTGACAAACAACGAGTTTAGATTAGAACAATTTGAATTTGAGTCATGTCAAGTTAAAATTAATGTAGATTTAAATTATTTACGATTTAAATTTTTTAAGATTTGAGGTTTTTTTCAAATTTTATAAATAAATGTTATTATCTCGTTATACTTTATTAGTTATTTAAACTTTTTGAATTTTAACAATTTCATATTTGGATCACTTGAGTTCAATCACTTTAAATTTGAATTTTTTTGGATTCAAAATTTTTTAATTGATATTTAACTCCAAATTCATTTTGTCATCTTTAATTATGTATATGAGATATAATAATGGTTAAATCAAATTTAAATTATTATATATTTAGTTTAAAGTAGAAATTTATTTACATTAATGTAAATCTTATTATTTTTATTATTAAATCAAAATTAAATTTATAATTAATTTAAATTAAAATAATATTTTTAATCTTAATCATTTTGATTAATGAAATTTACACTAATGTGAGTGTATTTTTTATATTTTAATTTAATTGTTATATCACGTACATAAATTATGACAATTTCATATTCAATAACAAATCTAAACCGTCCATTAAAATGAGAGATGAATGTAACCCGTAGATAGGTGGATAAAACCAATAAAAAAATCATTATCTTGAATCAAACAAACACTATGATTCAATATAAAATAATTAGATTAATCAATTTCCATTGCGTCACGTTCACAAACCAACCACGTGGCAGCGGTCCCATGTCATCTTATTCGACTTTTTCCGCCGGAAAACCCGGTAGCCGTAGCTCTCTAATTTCGACAAAGACGCGTTCGCTTTTTTGAACAAGTCGCTCGCCATCCGATCAACCATCTGCGAACCAATGGAACGACCCGCAGTAAATAAATACTACACTGCGAACACCGTACCATTTTTCCTCGTAGACAGCCAATTTTGCTTGTCATAAACAAACACAAGACAAACGCGTCCACCGCCCCTGTCTAATGTAATGAAAACAAACTTTCCTTTCTCCAAAATCTAATCCCTTTCCTCTTAATTTTTTTAACGAGTTAATTACAATTTTGTATCTAAATTTTTTTTAAATATATAAATTATTATTTAAAAAATAAAATATATAATTTATATTTTAAATTTTCAAATAATGTATTATTTTAATTTAAAATTTAATCTTATTAATTTAAATTATTTATATGATATTTAATAAATATAATTTTATCATATGCATGTTTATTAGTTAAAAAAATTAAACAATTTACAAAAAAATTCATAGATAAATTAAGTTATATGGATGTCACATGAGAATTATAATTGATTGATCTTGAATAATTTTTATAATTTAAATATAATATATTTTAATATCTTGAAAAAATATAAAAATTATGAGTGTTGAACATATAATTTGATAATATTTATCGAATATATATATGTAAATTAATATAATTAATGAAATTAATATTTAAATTATTATAATATATAATTTAAAAGTTAAAGATGTAAATTATACATTTTATTTTTTTATATATTAATTTAAATATTTTCCCCAAAACACTAAGCCTGTAATTAACTCCTTTTTAACTTAACTATCCCTAGATTTAACCCTAGCCTTAGCTTACTTCAATTACCATGGTAATTAATAAACCAATATAAATAGAGTGCCAATCTGTAGCAGAAGTTTATATTACGTGAAAAAAGAGTCATTATCAACTTGCCAGGTTGGTGAATTCTCTCTCCTTTTTAGTGCTGCCAAAATTCATAAACAGAAAGAAGAATCTCAAAGTTTGTAATAGAGAAAAGGTGATAAACATAATGGATTCTTCCTTTCCGAAACTGTTCACAGCTTTTTAATCTTTGTTCTCGCGTTGATCCCGATTCAGAGCACCTCATCTACAGCTTCACCTTTCCATTCCTTTCTTTTCTCTTCTAACTAGATTCAATTTTTCTGATTGCTTTTGCTTTCTTTTTACTTCTCTTGGGCTCTTGTTTCATCGGAATCAACGTTCACAGATTTCCCGGAACTATTTTCACGTTTTAGTTTGGCAGATCACGATGGTTGACATTTATAATTGTATAAATTTTGAGATATGATTATGATTTTTTATTCTGTTTACCTTTTTTGGTTGAGCTAACAGGAAGATATGGGAAGTGAGTCATACGAGGAGGCGATTGCAGCTTTGTCGAAGCTCCTCAGGTATGACAGTGCTGCTGTCCTTTGTTTTAACGTTTCTCTTTCCGTTCCGAACCTTCAAAACGGAAAAAAAGAAGAAAGTCAAGGATTTCATTTCTGGGACGGCAATTTAATCAATGATTGCCGTCCTTATTCGTCGTTTTTACGGTTTTATTAACATGATAAATAGTGTTTTTCAGTTACATAGTCCGAAGATGGAGCCCAGGTTGGACCAAGATCTTTGGGCCGACAAACTCCATTGAACTGTCTGTAACTTGTAACGGTTTGTTTAATGGTGGCTTTATGTCCTCGGTTGCAGTGATAAAGCTGATCTCGGAAGTGTCGCCGCCGCAAAAATCAAACAGATAACGGCCGAGTTAGAGGCAGCTGCCGACCCGACACAGTTCGACCCAGTCAAGCGGATCGAAACCGGTTTCTTTCATTTCAAGAAAGAAAAATATGAGTACGTTTATAAATCTACTACTACTGAAAAAGATTTTCGATAGTTTCTTTTCCTCTGTCGAAAAAGAGATTAAAAATTGGATAATTTCTATTAGTATTCTAAATAAATAATAATAAAGGATGTGGATTCGGAAAAGGTGAAGCAAATGGATTGGCAGTTGTACAAAAGGGAAAAAGTATGTGGTTGAATTAGAAAATCGATCGGTTGACTGCATTTTCCTAGTTGTGCGTGTGTGTTTTTTTTAATTGAATAATTATAAGCTTAATAGGAATCTATTTGGCTGACCTGTTTTTCCAGGAAAAATCCTAATTTGTACGGTACACTTGCCAAAGGCCAAAGCCCCAAGGTTCGTCCACCCCATCCTTTTTCTCATATATATTTACCAACCATTTCAGACGAGATTTGGATTTATTTTACACAGTAAATGGATGTGAAAACTTGAGCTGATGGTTTGGATTTTGGCAACTACAAGATGTTTACGATTGATTTGTATTTTGGTAACGGAATTGCTCCATTTTCGAGTACAACGCATTAAATTTGAACCCAGAATATACCAACTCAAACGACGTTTTGTGCATTTATGATTGCGTGCTTTCTTTGACGAAATGGAACGTGAATGGCCATAGTTTACACGCCTTTTGAATGAATAGTCAACCGTTTATTTTTTTACATGTTGCTTTTAGAAAGATAGTAGCCGGCTCTTTTTCCAGATGAAGAAGAGGTTGACAAAAGTGAAGTTGCAGTAGCTTTTACCGGTTGTCTTCTTTTTGCTATTTTGGGTGCTTATCATGTATGATAAAAACTAAAAAGTTATGGCTCGATTCAAGCCTCAAGGAGTAGTACTGCAAAATTTTTATGCATGGATTTTTTTTTCTCTTTCAATTTAATAATCATTATTATGCAATATGACTGGCGAGCACAGTACGCTAACTTTTTTTATTGTTGAAAAAAAATCATTTTTGTGTACAGTTTTTGGTATTTGCATGCTCGGATTCTCGAGTCTGCCCCTCCCACATCCTGAATTTTCAACCAGGGGAGGCTTTTATGGTACGAAACATTGCCAACATGGTCCCGCCCTATGAAAAGGTTCGCCTAATTTTACATTATTTATTAATTTTTCAACGCATTTGGTCTTTCTCTCACGCCATCACCCCAGTTGATATCTCCATATAATTCTCCCATTCAAAGGTTGACATATATGATCCAATCAAATATCTTCTTAATTTTAACCAGTAATATTTTTATCAGTTTTTTTGGAAGGCATTATTATTCTTATTATTTAATGTATATTTATGTTTTGATTTGCATTGTTCGCTGCAGACAAAATACTCAGGAGTTGGCGCGGCCATTGAATATGCAGTCCTGCATCTTAAGGTGAATTAAATATTCTAGTATAGTTTTACTTTATAAACACAATTTGCTACTATATATTTCTTAATTTTTTTAAATGATAGTGGATATTTGTTTAGTGGATGTTGACTCTTTGGTGAGGGCAACGTGATCTCTAGTCACTAGGCATGCCCAAACTCTCCGAAAGTCTGAAGTCTTACCGACCAATGCTACCTCAAAGAAATGCACTGTTTCCTTGTACTTTCTAGAAGGAAAGACTGTATATTTAAACCATTACCCTATCTATCACCTTGAATCTTCATCAATTGCAGGCTTCAACAATAACTGTAGAAATTACTGATGTATAGTTCAACTTTTGATTTAATTAGTAATAAACATATTGAAATAAGTAATAGAGAAATAATGAATGATGAATTTTAGTCAAATATCTATACCAATAGACGTGGTAAATGGGCACATATGGATTTAGGTTGGGATATTTTGGGTCGGATCATTTTGGATCAAAAGAAAATCATTTTGAGTTTGGATCAAGAAATGAGAAGGTTTATTTCAAGTTTGAATAATTTCGATGGGTTTGGTTAAAAAAAAAATCAGGTCATTTTGAGTCTGGATATTTTAGATAAGGTCATTTTAAATTTCGATTAATTTAAATTTCAATCATTTTGGATTCAGATAAATTTGTATTTGAATCGATATTTCAATTTTGGATTTTTCAGATTTGAGTTAATTTAGGTTTAAATAAATTTGAATTCAAATGGTCAATTTTTTAATCAAATTGGATAAATCAAATTTAAATTTGAATTCGGATGGGCAGAATTTTGAGCTTGGTTAGCTTTTGTCACCTCTATATACTGATTTGTGATTGGTGTGAGGTGCTCTTTTACTTTTCCTTCAACTTAATTTGCTTTCTTAAATTTTCCCTTTTGGAATTGAATGTGTAAAAAAGAATGTTTGATACAGGTGGAGAATATTATGGTTATTGGACACAGCTGCTGTGGAGGTATCAAAGGGCTCATGTCTATCCCAGACGATGGGACCACTTCTAGGTAAGAAGTTTATCAATTTGGCATAATAAAAGCAAATTAGCATATTTTAGAACTCTGCTTAAACCTTGCAAGTGCAGCATATGTACTTTAGATCAAGGAAATTAGAAAATAAAGAAAAGGTGTTTCAATATTTTGGCCTTTTAGTCTCAGAATCTCAATAGTTCCCGTGTGATATCAGGGTATACTATATATTTTTTTTAATAAAGAAGGCTTGTGGATAAAAGAAAGGTTATAAGGACTGGGATTTGAACCTTAGCTGTATGACACTTTATAAGAATGGCTAAATGAACCAGCCTAGTTAAAGCTCCGAGCTGCTATTGTATTAACGGGAACTTCGTTAAAAACGGCTGGTTCTCTATAACTGTTAATGGGCAGTCTGATTTGGATCTGTTTCTCTTTTCCAACCGTTTTCTTGTGATAGTGCTATGGACTTGAAATTTTACGCCTGATTTTTGGGTTCCCTTCTCTCCTTTTGGAGAGACGTTAGCATATAAAGGATGCCAAAACAGATTGAAGACAAAACGAAGGTTTATACTTTGTGTATTTATGTTTGAAGTTTGAACTTTGCAGTGATTTCATAGAACAATGGGTCAGCATCTGTGCACCTGCAAAGACCAAGGTGAAATCAGAAAATAATGAGCTGAGTTTCTCAGAACAATGCACCAACTGCGAGAAGGTGACATTCAAGTCTACATCAGTACTTGTTTGCACTCTTAATACATTAACGATCAGAGTGTTTTTTTTTTCTTTAATGTTTGGTATTCATGTTAATATTTGTGTTGTTAAACTAATGCAGGAGGCAGTGAATGTATCTCTGGGGAACCTATTGACATATCCATTTGTGAGGGAGGCAGTGGTGAAGAAAACCCTTGTCTTGAAGGGTGCACATTATGATTTTGTCAATGGAAAGTTTGATGTCTGGAATCTGAACTTCCAGATCATACCCACTTTAGCTGTATGAGCATTTTTGCATTTTCACCATACAGTAAAGCTCCTCTTGCAATGCTGCTTGTATGTTTCCTCGTCGATACCATTCCCATAGAATAAAAACAGTGGTCGGGTCATTTCTTGTTTCACTTTGTGTTTAATTTCCTCTGTCAAAAAAAGTAGTGCTATTTTGTACTCAAGAAAGAAAATTTTGAGTTAATGAGTATGGCTAGTTCATGTTTGCACCTTGCGAAACATAATGGAGTAGTGTTTTCTCCAATTTTTGTTCGGATCGAGTTAATGAAGAGAGAATGAACATGCATTACTGTTACCATTTTCTTTGCATGATCTGAGTCTGAGCTTTTTCTTGACTTTGTAGTTGTTATTCAGTGCAATAATGGATGTGAAATTTGCACTAATCGTTTTGAAGGAACATTTGAAACAGAGGGGAAAGGAAAGAACATTCATGAAACAGAGTCTCTCCCTGGATCATAGACCCTATCTGTGATTTACTTCTTGCTGTGGCAGAAACTTAAAAGCCTCTTTTAAGGCTTACAAGGCCTAGTTTCCATTTTCACTGCCAGCAGTTCTTTCCGGTGAATAATCTATAAATTTAGTGTAAATTTTTGACGAAATCGGCCATATTTCTTGTCCGTGGAATGGGATAACATTCTTTCACCTAAACTTTATTGTAAAGAAAAAAAAAAAACTTAAAAAAGGCTATTTTGGAAGGCTAAATTGCAAAAACTTTAGGTGTGAAACATTTAATTTTATTCGGATCAATTTAAATTTGTTCAATTTTTAAATTTAATCGAAACATTTTGATCTAGACCAACTTAAGCATTTAAATTGAATTGAATTCGTTTAGGTTTGTTTTGGATTAATCATTTCTTTGACCATTTTATATGAGCCAAAGTCCAATTCGATTTAATTTTGGATTGATTCAAAATTTGATCACTTGAATTTGAAAGTCCAATAGAAGATCAAAGTCCAACTTTGACTCTAAATTAAATTTTAAGACCCAATATCATTTTATCATAATTAATTAAATTAATAAAATTAAATTAAATAAAAAATATTGTTACAAAAAGAAGAGGGTTAGTTGCCATGGTAGCCTTTCTCTCATCTCCTTCCTTAAATTGCCTTTACAATTTCAGCTATATAGTTTTTGTTGCTCATTTTATCGCATTTACCTTTAGCATAACTTTATCAAAGATCCCTTTCCCTCCTTTATAGACCCTCTCTTTCTTTCTCCCCAAAATGTAGTAATTGTTAGGAATGTGGGGTCTAGCCCTATTGTTTCCACCAATTAAAAGGTTTAAAGCCTTTTTTGACTTTTAATGTGAAATAAAGCCTTACAAATAAAAATGGAGGCTGTGTTTTTTGGTGATTAGAATGTGGCACCAAAAAGGCAAAAAAGAATTAGAAATGATAGAGAGCAAAGGGATAAGGGAGAGTTGTCAGTTGAACGAAAATTGATCCGTAGTCTAATTGAGCTAAAATTTTGTTAGCAGGTTCATGATTCAATGTTCTACATTATGAACAATAGAGATCAGGTCTGAAACCCTCTAGGAATAAATTTAAGGTATATTTATTGAGTCACTTATTTGATAATATGTCTTCAATTATCTCTCTAGTTGTTGATTAGCTTTAGTTTTAGTTTATGATATTTTTTCTACACTGGATAGTTTTTTACATAAATCTTAGCGTGCTTTATTTATTTATTTTTTTACGTTGTTAATTGTTGATTGTTTTCTATTTTTTTACGTTGTTAATCTTAGCGTTGCTTCTGCGTTGTGTATGTTGCTTAAAGCCCAACAAGTGGTATTAAAGCATTGGTTATTTTGAGATATTGATACAAAAATAACTTAGGACATAAGTAAATTTTGTTTAAAATCATGAAAGGTGATATAGGTTCCATAATAAAATTGACAGTATCAAATTATTCAATTTGGAAGCCTATGATAAATGATCGTTTATACTACAAAAATTTGTATGACTACTATACGCTTGTTAAAAAGCTTACAATTTTACAGTATAGGGATGGATGATCGATTATAGAGTACTTAAGTGATTTTCAAGATATATTCAATTGGATGACTAATATAGAACTTAAAATGGACGATGAAATGAAGACATTATTTCTTTTGAGTTCATTGTCAGATAGTTGAAATACTCTATTTGTGATTGTTCTTAATTCAGCTCTTAATTACAAGATGACGTTGGAGATAGTAAATGATAGTATGTTTAATGAAGAAGTAAGGTGAAAAAATTCAAACTCTGGGAATCAAGCTCTTGTCACAAAAACCAGGGGTAGAAACATTGACAAAGGTTAGAACTCACAAGATCGTAGTAAGTTTAAACATAGATTCAAGTCTAAAGATAAAGTAAAGTGCTACCATTGTGATAAATTAGGTCATATAAAATGATACTGCAAAATCTTGAAGTAAGAGTGAAAAGATGAGAAAGGCAAAAGTTCAAATGATAGCAATGTTGCAGCAATGAATTTAGATAGTGATTCAGTTACTTTGATTTGTACACATTGTGATTATAATCATGTTGGTAATCCCTACATTGAGTGAATAGTTGACACATGAGTGGTATGTCATTGTGTTCTTAGGAGAGAGTTGTTTATAACTTACAAAGTAGAGGACTTTGGTTGCATCAAGATAAAAAATTAAAGTATGTCATAGATTGTTGGGATTAATTATATTATTATACGAATTAGTACAAACTGCATGTTGACTTTGAGGGATATTAGACACATTTCATATATGAGAATGAACTTGTTTGCAATTAATATTCTTGATAATGAAAGATATAAGAGTTGATAAAAGAATGAGTAGTGAAAGTTTTTCAAAGAATCTATGATAGTTGCAAGAGTAAAATTATACTACACAATGTATAAGACATGGATATAATTAAATAGCAACCAGATAAATGTCATTGAGGATAATGCTTCAGCAAATATGTGACATAAAAGGCTAGTACACATGAGCGAGAAAGGATTATAAGTTTTGACAAGGTAGTCTCTCATTTGCTTGACCAAAGATTTATCTCTAGATTCATGTGATCGTTGTTTACATGGTAAGCATCGTAAAGTTTCTTTTCATAAATTTTTCAGAGAAAAAAATAGATTGAAATTGATTCATTCTGATGTATGTGATCCCATTGAGGTTGAGCCATTGGGTGATAGCAAATATTTTATTACTTTTATTGATGATACTTCATGTAAGCCTTGAGTGTACATATTGAAAAATAAAAGCCAAGTACTAAAAATTTCATGTCATGGTGAAAAAGATGACATGGTTATCCTTGAAGCATACTCGAACTGATAATAGTGAAGAATACACATCCAAAATCTTTGAAAAATATTATTTAAAGCATGAGATTAGGCATAAGATGACAAAACTTAAAATACTATATCATAATAGTGTAGCTGAAAGGATGAACAACACCATTATAAAAAAAGTCAAATATATGTTGAAGATAGTAAAATTACCAAAATCATCTTGGGGTGAAGCAGTCAACATAGCTTGCTATTTACTTAATAGATCACCATCGGTTCTTTTAAGCTTTAACATTCCAAAAAGAGTGTGGACATGAAAAGATACTTCATACTCTCACTTGAAAGCTTTTAGATGTAAAATATTTATGTATGTATCGAAAGAGCAGACATTTAAGTTTGACCATAAAGTCACATAGTGTGTGTTTGTAAGATATGATAATAAAAAATTTGACTATAGGGTATGGGATCTAGTTAAGAGAAAGACAGTTGAAAGCATATATATTATTTTTCATGAAAAAAAGACTATAGCAGATCTTGAAAAAAATAATAAGACTACACGAGTTACTGTTGAGTGTGATATTTCAATACTAATAGAGGTTGCACTGAAAAGAGCCATAGATGATGAAAATAAGTAAGAAATAGAATGCATGGATACAAATAAGCTAGCCACAGTTAGTGATGAGCTAGATGCAATCAGTTTTGAGTAACGAAGAGCAGTTTTTTTCACAAGAGAGTGTTGAGTAAGGTGAGCAATCTTTTTCATTAAATAGTATTGAGTAAAGGGAGCTACCTTCGGCATCAGATAGTGTAGAGTGTCAACTTAGAATATCTACTAAAGAGCATCGATCATTCATAATGTATCTAAGTTTAGATTTTATTTTAATTATCAATGAGGCAGAGCCAGAGAGCTTATAAGATATGCAAACTATTATGGATAGAGAGCATTATTTAAAAGTAATAAAAAAAATTGAGTCATTGCGATAAAATGGTACATATGATCTTGTTAAACTTTTGCAAGGGAGAAGGTCGTTGAATAATAAATAGGTGATCAAGCTAAAAAAATATGGTGATAAGCTAGTAAGGTATAAAGCTTGATTGGTGGTGAAAATTTTTTCTTAAAAGCCCAACATTGATTTTAATGAGATATTATCTCCATTTGTGAAGATAAGTTCTATTCGAGTAGTATTGGGATTAGTAACTAGATTAAATATTGAGCTTAAGCAACTTAATGTCAAGGCTACATTTTTGCGTGGTGATTTGTATAAGGACATTTATATGGATTAGCCTGAGGGTTTTGAAGTGAGAGGGAAATATCATCTAGTTTGCAAACTAAAAAAAAATTTGTATAGCTTAAAGCAAGCTCTGCAACAATGGTACAAAAAATTCATTTTTTTTATGGTGTGTCCAGCTATAAAAGAACAGCAGCAGATCCTTGTATGTATGTCAAAAATTTTTTTAATGGTAACTTCATTATTCTCTTATTATATGTTGATGATATGTTAATTATGGAACAAGATGCTGGTATAGTTCGTAAGTGGAAAGAATAATTGTCTAAATCCTTTGACATGAAGAGTTTAGGTACAACAAAGTAAATTCTTGATATGAATATTATCTGGAATAGAAAAACTAAAAAACTATGGTTGCTATAAGAAAAGTATATTGAACGGGTGCTTAATAAATTTAACATACAACATGCTAAATCAGTTAGCACTTTATTTACCAACCATTTTTATTTGAGTAAGAAATATTATCTGGTAACTAAGAAAAAAGTAATTAGTTATGTCTAGTATTTCTTATGCTTTTGTAGTCAATTTTTTAATGTATCTTATGGTTTACACACGACCTGATATTGCCTATGCAATTGATATAGTGAATAGATTTCTTTCTAATTTGAAAAAAGTTTACTAAGAAATGGATTTTCAAATATTTGAGAGGTACATCAAAAATGTGCTTGAGTTATGAAACTATACAACTCGTTTTAAAAGGATTTACTGATATTGACATGCATATGATCTTGATGGTAGAAAATCTACTTCAAGATATTTGTTCACTTTTGTAAAAAGAGCTATGTCTTGGCAGTCTAAATTGTAGAAGTGTGTTGTCTTGTTAACTGCATAGGTTAAATATCTTGTAAAAATCAAAGTAGGTAAAGAAATGCTTTGGATGAAATTTTTTTTTTGAATTAAAGTTAAATCAGAATGAGTATGTGGTATTTTATGATTGTTAAAGTGTTTTAGATTTAATTAAAACTACTATGTACTATATTAAAACAAAATACATTGATGTTAGATATCACTAGTTATGTTCGTAATTGATGAGCAATAGATGTAGTTGAAAACATTCCATATTAATGAGAATGTAGTAGATATGTTAAGTAAGATACTTCTCAGGAAAAAGCTTGAGCTTTACTGTAACTTGACCAGAATGGGTTCCTTAGCTAAAGTAAGTTTCAAATGAGATT